GGTGTTGCTCAGCCACATGGACGGGGCTCGGTGTGGAGTGGTCTCTGGTTCTCCCAATAACCAAGGCCTGCAAATTCCCTGCAAATATGCTGTGCACAACTGTCAGGATTTATTTCCAAGGCAGAATGGGGCTCAAATCTCCTCTTGGGGAGGCAGGAAACCAGCTTGAAAAAGGATCCAGGAGCAGATGACGACCTTGCCAAATGTCTGGATGGAGCCATCTGGGCAGGGGTGAGGCGGCCGCTACGGTCAGAAGACCAGCATCCGGAACCCCCCGGGGACCGCACCGCCTGTGCAGCCTCTGCAAGGACCAATGGCCACGTCATTCTCTGCTTTTATTTTCTATCTTGATAATAAACGCATGGCTTCTACAGTGACTCAGAACACACCACACACTTTTATTTCAAAATTTATGGAGTCAATTTTGTGTACTTTTTGGCTCTTCCATTCTGCTTCTGGCAGTAACTGTTTTCTCGCTCCAGGGAGTCTTTTATCATCTTCAGTCATGATGGGTTGCATTGCTTTGTCCTTTGTCACTTTCCCTCCTCCTCAAAAAGAAACCCAGTAAATGCTCAAGGTCTGATCTCAGAAGGACGCACTGGGAATGTGTGGGTGCTGTGATAATTCTGGTTATCCAGATTTTTCAGAGAGGTCCCTTTTCCTGTTTGGAAGTTGTGGACTCTGTCCCTCTGGGTTCTCAGCACTCAGTTCAACCACCGTCTCCTCCATCCCTCTCAGGGAGTGACCATGGTCAGGGGCCTGTGGAATGGGCCAGGGTGGGAGGGGCTGGGGCAGGTGAACATAGAACATTCAGGCTCTGACTGTTCCCTTTGGCTCCCTGAGCAGAGCTCCCTGGGCCTCCCTGTCACAGCAGCTCAGCCCAACCCTGGGACTTGCTCAGGGACAATCACTGGGCATCTGCCAGGATGAAGCAAAGGGGGCTGGTGGCAGCTGCAGTGAGTACAAGCCACCTCGGGGCTGGGGCAGGCAATCCTGGGCAAGCCCTTTGCTTCCCACTGAATGCACAACATGCTGGACCACGGACCCCTGGGCCAGGTGCCCAGACTCTTGTCAGCTCTCCACTAATTCTCCATGTGGCCTCAGTTGCTCTCCCCCAAAAATTAAAGGTCTCGATTAGATGCTCTGTAAAGCCTCTTATCACTGCGAGGTTCTGAAACTGATAAATCCATGTGCACTGCTGCCTGCCCCTTTCCTGGACTTACACTTGAACATGGCAATCTGGCTACAAGCTCTTCAGGACCAAACCTCAACCCCAGTCTCCGAGGCCCCATATCCAGAGATGGTCCATCCCAGGGGGATCACCCTGGTGAGCACGGATGCAGGTGCCTCTAGAGCTGACAGAACTGGGTCTGAATCACAGCTCCTTAGCTGTGAGCAATCAGCTCTGGCCTCAGTTTTCTCCACAGAAAAATGCGACAGTAATTAATGTGCATCTCTCTGCATCCTCATTCCTGCCCCCAGGGGCAATTTGAGAAGTAAATGAGATACAAATAGAGCAACAAAAAGATATGCAAAACTGGCACCAGCAAGAATAATAACTGGTAATAATATTACTGCTAATAACAAAGGCAGATCATGCTTCTGAAGAAGGAAAGTGCCATTTGTCTTGCAGGGATCAGGCAGCAGCGCTGACAACAGACAGACTCCACCGAGCCTCTTCAGTCTCCAGGGACCCACTCCGGCATATGCCAGAGTGGTCTGGCCGGCCTCCAAGCCTTCCAGTTGAACCGGGGCTGGAAAAGCGTCTGCTGCCTTTCCAGCGAAGTGCTGCTGCCCCTCCTCCCAGTCTTTCTCCCTCAGATCTTGGGGGATCTGAAAGGAGAGAGAATCATTTCTCTCTTGGGGGTAGAGTGGAGCAGGGAGTCTTATTTGCTTCTTGACCTTGACTTCATGGGAAAGGGGAAGGACAGCATTGTCTTGGAGTAGGAAGAGCTGCGCCATCATCCTGCCTGCCTGGGTCCCTGGAGGCACAAGTCCTCTTAAGACAGGCCTGGCTACAGTGGTGTCTGGCCACTTCTCAAAGACTTCCAGTGGTGGCCGCTCACAACCTCACAAAGCAGCAAGTTGCTCTTTTTTTTTTTTTTTTTTGAGACAGAGTCTCGTTCTGTTGCCCAGACTGGAGTGCAGTGGCACGATCTCAGCTCACTGCAACCTCCACCTCCCAGGTTCAAGTGATCCTCCCTCCTCAGCCTCCCAAGTAGCTGGGACTATAGGCACATGCCCCCCTTCCTTTTTTTTTTTTTTTTTTTTTTTTTTTGTAGAGACGGGGTTTCACCATGTTGGCCAGGCTGATCTTGAACTCCTGTCCCTGCCCGCCTCGGCCTCCCAAAGTGTTGGGATTACAAGCATGAGCCACTGTGCCCAACCTAAGTTGCTCTTTTGAATCACCTAATTGCTTGTAGAGGAGCAATAGAGGGGCACACAGAAGGGCAAGCACAGAGAACATTCCAGAAAATGCAGGACACTTTCTCTGAGGCACAGCTATTTAACAGGCAACCCCATCCAGGGAGAAGCCAGTACAGAGGTCCCAGCTAGAGTCTGAACAAGGGGTGATCCCTCTCCCCTGTCACCTTGCAGAACAAGATGGTCCCAGGACTCTGACCCTGCACTTCTGGCTGCTGTGAGCCTCTTTCTATGTGGGGGTGCTTCTGTTGGGGTCCTGGGTGTTGGCCAGGGAGGGTCCCCTTTCTGCCTGCATCCCAAGAGAAACAGTCTCTGGGAACGTCACCGGAGACTTCCACGGAGACTTGAGCTCAGTCTTAAAGAAGTGGGCATGCCTTCGGGACCGGTACCCCTGAAATCTGGGCAGAGAGAGAGCACTGGGCAGGAGGTTGAGCATATTCCACTCTGAGGGCGGTCAGGGACCTGTGGAAGCCAGAGCTGGCCCAGGCCACACCATGATGGGCATCTTGAGAAACAGCCTCTGCAGATTCAGGGCCTGGTGTAAATGTGCCCTGGAGGTGTCATCCAGTCACAGAAGGCAGTACTGTGTGGCAGAAAGAGCCTGGCTTTAGAGCCCAACTTCCCAGGTTCAAATCCTAGCTTTTCACTTTCGTGCTGTGTGACCTCAGGAAGGCGACTTCATTCCTCTGAGCCTCTGGTTCCTCATCTGTGCACTGGGGCGATGATGCTGTGTGGTGATTGTAAGGAGTTAGTGTGCATGCAAGTCTAGCGGCACCAGGACACATAATTCAAGCAGTGAGGACCGGCATCTTTCTCCCCTTTCCGAACTGCTAAGACGGACCCCCGCTGAGGCAGGAGGGAGAGTGCAGCTCGCTCTGGCCGGAAATCCATCCTTTGCTCCTTAATCAGACACTAACGGGCACATCTATCTTCATTGTTGTTTGAGAGATGGTGGTAAACAAAGTTGATAAAGAAACCATAGGAGACCAAGATGGAGCAACCCCAAGGAAGTCACTGTAATCTGCAATGCAGAGTGGTCGAGGTCGCCAATGCCCTGGACCATCTACCGCTTTGATACTGAAAAAGCGAGAGAGGCTTGAAAACTGAATTTAACTGATATTTATGTTAAGGGCTGGAGGCTGAGGGGCCTCCATAGGGAAAACTCCTGCAGCCAGAAGCGCCCAGTTCCTGGGATGCTGGAGTCCTCTTCAGGGCTAGAAGCCATCCTTTTCTCCTGCCTTCTCCTCCCGTTGCCACAGCAAACACAGAACCCTCTCTCTCGACTGCCATCTCCACGGGCCATTTGGAAGCCAGGCAGCTGCCTCCTGCATCTTTACAGGGGTCAGGCCCTCCTGGGGATGTGGGGCCAGAAGGGAAGATCTGAGCATGTGAGGCAGAGTGACTCCATGAGGACATCACGCAACCCCGCCTTGGCTCTGGGCTTCTCGCCTTGGGTTTTCTCATGGAGACATCCATCCGTTAAAGATCTTGCTTATGGAGCAGACCTGGGGTTTGATGGAGAGAGACTTGCTGGAGACACAGCCACCCACGCACGCCGCGGCTAACTCCCCAGCCCAGCCTCCGCCCTGTCAGTGATTCCAGGAATTCCAGGCAGGTGGTCCGTGTCCCTTCTCCCTTAATGCCAAAGTCAGGTTCTTTGCACTCGTGACCTCCCCTTAAGCTGACGCACTGGCAGATGATATACGGCGGCAGTGACGGAAGTGATCAGTAAGAACTGGCAGCCATGAGCAGGCACTGTCTGGAGCCAAGCTAGGAATCCTATTACCATGGCGGCTTCCAGGGAAGAATGCTGCTTCTGGACACCTAAGATGTCCCTTTGCCTGTCGTCAAGAACGCTCATTTCTCCTGAGACCAGAGTGAAAAGTCCAGCTTTCTTGTAATTGTCCCTAAACCTACACGCGAGCTTCCTAACCAGCTTTTTAAGTTTCTCTACCACAGAGGGTGTTATTGACACAATTTTTCTCTTTTTTTTTTTGCAGTGTACAAAGTGAGGAGAAAGCCTCTCTGGGCCTAGAGGTGAGTGAGCCCCCTTCTGGGACCTTTGCCACTCTATCTGCACAGGGAGGCTGCCTTGGGAAGGTGTGGGGGTGGGGGTCAGTCCTGTGCAATAAGATTTCCTAAGGAAGAAAGAAAAGTGTGCCCTTCTTTCTGGTTTTTACTTGGAAGCTTCCTTGTTTGCCAGGACCCCAGATGCTGATTTTTGAGAATTTAAGGAAGTGGCTTGGGCAGAAGCACTTTCACGCTGCAGGAGAATGCACGGTATCCACACTGAGTGTAAAGGACGGGTGACTGAGCAGCCTGCCAATCTTGCATCCACCTTCAAGATGCCTGGACATTCTCCCCAGGGCAGCTTCTCAGCAACCTCCTCAGGGAAGTGCTTAGTTGGGGCAGAGAGAGCAGTGAGCTGAGCAGTGAGAGAGAGCAGTGAGCTGAAACAGAAAGGACACATCTTCCTGTCCCGACTCCTCCACGAACGTGCCTGGTGACCACAGGCAAATCACCCCCCTCTCTGACCCATGCATTGAATAATTCAGTGGACATGAAACTTGTTCATCTTTAAAATTCCACGATTCCTCAGAGAAGAAAGAGCATCCTCACGTGGGTGGCCTGAAGAGTCCACTGCCTGGCAGATCTAGCTCTTAAAGACATCCTCTCCCATCCTCTCCCCTCCTCTTCTTAAAAAGAAGAGAAAGTCCAGCCAGGAGATACAAACCACTAACAACACTCCCAGAAACCCCACCCTATGACCAGTAACCCCCCATCCCTGGGTCTCCGGATGCACTTGGGTCTCGGAAGGGACCGGGTGTCTCGTGACAAAGGTGCCATTTCAAAGTCAAATTAGGAACATCCAATGGCCCTACTAGGTGGCCAAGGGACTGAATGTTAAACCAGAATTGGGTCGGGAACACAGAAGTCCTGAGGGTCGCTCCTGCCCCAGCACCCCACACCCTAGGTTCGATAAGTTTGCATAAAAACAAGACACACGAGTGATTATTTACCACCAGCAAGCGACCATCAAACCGTGCCTATGTTTTAAACCTAACTAGCTGTTCCATCTAGTCTCCTGTTCCTGGAATGTAGTTTCAAGGATCCCCAATCTGCCCTCCGAAGGCCTTGCCCCATCACGCCTCTAGGGGTGGGAGGCCCATACTTCCATGTCTTCTGACTCAGCTTGACCGCAACGTGGGATATTTGAAATCAGGGCTGCTGGGGGGAAATTCCAGAAGGATGGCTGCTGCCTCTGGTCAAAACTCCTGGTTCTAGAGCATGAGAGCAGCCAAAGGCCAACAGCAAGTCAGAGCTACGTGCCAAGCCTCACCCCATGGTGGTGGAGGGTGCGCCGTCCTCAGAAGGTGAAGGCGTACACCACACCCACCACCACGATGTTCCCCAGCGTGGCTATGATGGCAATCCATAGCAAGACCGCGTCGTTGGAGGACCGAGGAGGATCTTCCGGCTGGCCCTGGCCGTTGGCAGCTGCGTGGACATTGGCAGAGGAGTTAAACAGGGAGTACTCGGTGCTGAAGTCCTCGTTGGGCGAGTCCATGAAAGCTCCTCCCATCATGGGCAGCTGCGAAGAAGCAGAGAGAGAGACAATTATCCAGGGCCATGGGAGCTTGGGTAGACGTGCCCTCTGAAAGGGAAGTGGCCTGGCCAAACAGCCCCACATGAAGCTACAACTTCTACTGCACCTGCAAAACAGGGCTTTGCTTTCATGGTTTTATAATTGATGGTGCATATGGTAATCTATAAAAAATTAGTGTTCACAGCAGCCTGTTGAGGCAGACGTTGTCATGCCCACGCTACTATGAAAGCATCAAGGAACTCACCCAACAGCTAGCTGGTGACTCACTAGGACTCACAGCAACCCCTCCAGCCATTCCCCTCCCCTAATGCCAGGCTCCTCCATGACAATATGGGTTGTAAAATACCTTCATTCCTCTTCTAATTTTAAAAATAACATATGCTTAGCATAGAACACTAAGAAAACACAAAACAGGATAAAAAAACGAGAATCATGATCCCACCACATGATCACTGCTAACATTTTGATGGTTTTTATTTCCAATCTTTTTTCCTCTGTGTGTGTGTGTATGTGAGAGAGAGAGAGAGGGAGAGCGAGCGAAAACACATTTAAATGTGTTTTTTAATCCATGTTTCAAAATGACCATCAAAATTCCATTTTAACAGTTGTGTATTATTCTATCACGAACATAAGCCAAAATGTAACCACTGCCCTAGAGTTGGAGATTTAGCAATTTCCACTTTTCCTATGAAAAATAATGCATCGATCAACATCCTTGTACATCCTTTAGCATGTACCTGCATCCTTGTACACACATTGTTATTTATTAGGGCAGACTCCCAGACACACAATTTCTGAGTCGATGAGTATGAACACTGTATACCTTCCGGTGGATAGGAACAAATACCCCAGAAGAGTGACCCTAATTCCCACCGCCTGCGCCGCACACCACTGCACACGGGACGCCAGAATGTTTGCATTCATGGATCAGAACTTCCCATCTCTGTTTTTAAAGGTTCTCTGCTGCTCAGACTTCAGGTGGGAGGTGAGTTGCTCCAAGGGAGGGGGTGATCCTGGACACAGCAGTGAAGAGGAGGCCCCTCCCTGCCCCAGCCCAGGAGGCCCACATCCAGGCTTCCCAGGCCCTCTCCAGAGGCAGAATGTGCATCTGCATTCCCGGGCTGGCACTGACACCTATTTGGCCCATAATCAATGTTTCTTTTGAAGGGAACCTGAGTGAATGAACACGACACAGTGATGCCTGCGTTGGATGCACAGTTACCAAGCACTGCATGAAACAGTATTCTGCGTGGAGCTCCTGCTATGGTCAGGGGCTGTGCTAGAGATATTAAAATACTCTCAATCATTCAACTATCCTGGCGGAGGCTACTACTGCAACCCCATTTTACAGATGGATAAGCAGAGGTCAAGGACATAGCACTAATCTGTGGTGGTGTCAGGGTTGAGTGCCAGGAGTGTCCGACTATGAGCCCAGGTACTCCCTGCTCTGCATGCAGCCCCATGGGCTTCAGGGTCAGGCTCCTGGAACATGAGAGGCACACGGGTGCCTGGGCAGCTGCTGCTCAGAAGCTCTCTGGCCTGCTTTGAGTCTCAGTGGCCTCTTCTTAAAGGATGACCATTACCAGGTCACCAGGTGGCCGTTGAGTATCTGCTTCTGATGGGCTCCTGCCAGGAGGCACTCGGCACCTATATTCCTAACCTGGTGCTGTCCTTGAGGGGATGGAGCAAGGCAGTTGTGGACCTTGACAGTGCAGTGACTAGAAGGGACTCTTATGGGGCTCAGGGCAGGCCAGGCGCAATTTCCGAGTGGGGGCTGCAGGTTACCATGCTGTGTTCACCCCTCGAGGGGTACATTTTTATATAAGTACTTCTTATATGTATAACATATTCTATTAATATATTTAAATTAAATATAATGACCAATGCAAACAAGAATATTACAACAGCTTTTTTAGGCTAAAAATACAATTATAAGTGGAAACAAAAGAATTGCAGGTCAGATGGGGTGCGGGTGAATCAGACACATGCCAGCCTAATGGGCGGCTTCCCCGTCCCCAGGTGACATCGTCAGTGCCTTTGCCCAGCCTGTCCACAACAGAAGGCCTCCCAGGCTAAGGTAAAGTCACCAACATTTGCTGGTGGCCTCTTGGAAAGCAGGCTCAGTGTAGGAAGCTGTGCTTTCTTCCTCTTCGGTGTGACGAGGGCTGCGGGGGCTTGTTCTGCCCCCACGTCTCCCCATGACCCCTGCCAGATTCCCCGGAATTAACCAGAGTTCCCGTCCCTTCCCACTCATTGCTTCTTGTCTCTCCTCCCTCACCAGGCCCATGCTGCTGGGTGCTTAGACAGATGGCTTCCTGGACTCCACGCATGGGATCTGATCTACTCTTCCACCCCGTGGAGCTCTCTGGGCGTATGTCCCGTCTCTCTCCTCTCTTTAGAGCAAATGTGAATGAGATGAGTATTTTCATCCAAATTACTGGGGAAAGAGGGAGGGAATCTGGACAGATCCTTTTGTAGGACTCCCGCACCTCCTGTGCCCTTGAGCACCTGCTTCCGATGAGCTCCTGCCAGGAGGCACTCGGCACCCGTATTCCAAACACTCCTGCCAAACAGGTCAGAGTGATGCCCTCCAGCCTCTGCACCCCTCACTTCTCTGCCTCCCTGCAGGTATTTATTTAACACCTTTGCATGTCAGTTTCCTGTTGCTGCTGTGACTAATTACCACAAGCACAGTGGCTGAAAACAGCACTAATTTATCATACAGTTTCAGAGACCTCACTAGACTAAAATTGAAGCGTTGGCAGAGCTGCACTCCTTCTGGAGGCACTAGGGGACAATCTGTTTTCTCCTCTTTCCCAGCTTCTAGAGGCCGCCCACATTCCTGGGCTCATGACTGGGCTCATGGCCCCTTCCTCCATCTTCAAAGCCAGCCGTGTAGCATCTTCCAATCTCTCTCTCTCATCTTCCAATCTCTCTCTCTCATCTTCCAATCTCTCTCTCTCATCTTCCAATCTCTCTTTCTCATCTTCCACCTTCCTCACTCTTTCTCACCTTCCTCACTCTTGTAAGGGCCCTTGTGATGACACTGAGCTCCCCTGGCTAATCCAGGCCACTCCTACTATCTCAAAATCCTTAACTTAATCACACCTGCAAAGTCCCTTTGGCCATGAACGGTAACCCGTCCACAGGTTCTAGGGGTTAGGATGTGGACATCCTTGGTGGGGGCATCATTCTGCCGACCACACCCCGGACTTCTGTTCCAGAAAGGAGTCAGGATGGTGTGCATAACTGGATGTCCACTTCCCATTAGACAGAGAACTCCTGAAGGCAAGGATATGGTCTACTCATCACAAACTCCCTCAGCCCCATCCTTAACATACAAAAAAAGTGACAAGTAAAAGCATGTGGAATTAATGAATATGAAATCAGCAGGAGGGTTCCCCACAGGTGGTACTTCATAAACCCCAATCCTGGAGCTCCCAGACGTGGGGCAGGCCTCATGGGGAGTCCCCTTTGCCCTGCACCTGTGGTGGGAGCTCAGAACTGCCAGAGAGGATGGTCAGTGTTGGATGGATTCTGCTGTCTCGGAGCGTGGGAAACGAGGGTGGGTTCTGGTGTCAGAAAGGCTCGGGGTGAATCCACATACGGTGGGGCTTGGGTGAGTTACTTACCCACTTGCCTCACTCTCCCTTCTGTAAGTGATGAAGAGAATGCAGTCCAACCAGCGAGACTTGCAAGCAATGAATAAGATCATGTATAAGAAAGCATGGCCCCAAACAGTTACACAACAATTACCAACCAGTATTCCTTCCCTCTGTCGTCCTTGTAGGAGAGTATTACATGCATCTCTTATCCAGCTGCTTAAGCTGAAGTGAGGAAATCAGGAACATGGCATTTCTAGTCATGTGCTTTTTGTGTGATCGATAACTAGATACTCATTTTTAGTTGTCAGCAGATGGCCGCCCGTGCCCCCACCGTATGCTGAGACAGGCGGCTGAGAGGTGCTCCAAAGCCGGTCAGCCCTGTTGCTCCATCCGTCTCAAGTTTGTTGGTTTTATTTTGTTTTGATATTTTTTTCTTTGTAAAATAGGTTCTAAATGGAAAGTGCTGAGTTAGACATAAAAACAACTTCAACCATCCTGGCTAACACAGTGAAACTCCACCTCTACTAAAAATACAAAAAATTAACCAGGCATGGTGGTGGGCGCCTGTAGTCCCAGCTACTCCGGAGGCTGAGGCAGGAGAATGGCGTAAACCCAGGAGGCGGAGCTTGCAGTGAGCTGAGATCTCGCCACTGCACTCCAGCCTGACTCCAGAGCGAGACTCTGTCTCAAAAAAATAAAAATAAAAATAAAAAAAAACTTCAAACAGCAGAATTCCATGATTCGAAAACAAAAAGTCAGTCTCAATTCCAACATTTGGAAGTTACGAAAATTTGATGAGGATCTGGCTTGTGGTCAGCACAAGGGGTGTTGGCTGAGGTCATCCTGGAAGCAGGTGGTGAGAGAATGTCACTCTCAAAGCCCGCCCGACCAGCTCCAGTCTACTTTTGGCCACTTTTAAAGATGGCCTTTTGGTGGCACGCCACTGCTGGAAACGAGCAGCTGGGCTTTCTCACACCAGTGGGCAGGGGTGGCCACCGGCCTTCAGACAATGGGACTCTTGGATGAGGTTTTGACTCAGATTTGGGGGTGTGATCCTAACCTTAAACCCTAGAAAAGCTACTGTGCAGAAGAGAGAGCGGCTTAAGGGGGCAGAACTAGAAAACTAGTCTCCTGTTGCTGAGTTAGACGCTGGCAACCAGGACAACACGAGGTGACCTGGGGGGCGATGGTGGCCTTGATTCCCTATCGGAGGAGATATTCATGTCAAGATTAAAAACAAACAAACAACAACAACAAAAAAACATTTGTTGGCTGGGTGCGGTGACTCATGCCTGCAATCCCAGCACTTTGGGAGGCCAAGGTGGGAGGATTGCTTGAGGCTACGAGTTCAAGATCAGTCTGGCTAACGTAGTGAGACTCCATCTCTACAAAATATAAAAAAAATTAGCGGGGTGTGGTGGTGTACACTTATGGTTCCAGCTACTAGGGAGGTTGATGTGGGAGGATCACCTGAGCCCAGGACATCGTGGCTGTAGTGAGGTATGATGGCACCACTGCACTCCAGTCTAGGCACCAGCGAGATCCTGTCTCAAAAAAAAAAAAGAAAAAGAAAACAGAAACACTTGTTGGCTTGTCGAAGAAAGAAGGCTGTATTTTTCTGCCTACACTTTTCAGAAGGCAGGGATCTTCCACAGTATCACAGTATCCCCAATGCCTAGACTAGAGCAGACACTCAACAAATATTTGGTGAATGAATGAATCATAGGACCATCAGTCAAGAATCCTGAGGGCATGATGAGATTTAGCCCCAGGGCCAACATTGCCTCCTGGTGTGATCTAGGCCCACTTCTTAACCTCTCTGAGGCAGAGGGTTCTCAGTTAAAAACAGGGAAAATAATAAAGACAGCTCATAGAAGGGGGCTGCTGGGAGGTTCTTAACACTGGATGAAAAATGCTTTCTAGGGGAAAAAGGCAAGTCACAAAATAAACTCATTCTTGAAATCAAAAACATGCATGCATAATATTACCATGTACTATGCATGGATTTATACAAATGTTAGTAAAAGTACCAACTTGGATTGAGAAGCCAGACTTGATTGTGGCTGCCTCTGGGAAAGGGGAAGATGGGACAAAGGAGACCGATTTCATCTGCAGTCGTTTCTTATAAGGAAAGACAAGGCAGACATGATGAAATATTATAAATGGCCTATTTTGGTCAGTGGATATATGAGTGTCTGCTATAGTTTGGTATTTTTGAACTTCCTAAAATTAAGAGCAGTGCTTCGAGCATTGGAGTGCACCACGCGTGATGGTTACAATCGATTGTGGCTGTGGGATTAAGCACTCTCTGAATTCAGGAGGGTGCCCCAGGCTCGGAGTCCCTGCCCTGCAGTGTTGGGGCACCATGTGGCATGTGGTGGCTGAGTGTGATGTGGGGTGTTCCAGGTGGTCCGGGCCATTGTGGACAATGGGATGACACCCCCCAGGGGCCTCAGAGGGCCTTGCCTTCCCGACAGTCTCCATCCTGCTCCCAGAGCAGAGCTGCTCTAAGGAGTGGGGTGGCCTTTAGGTCTCCACCTGTTCCTGCTAAGGAGGTGACTGTTATATAAATCTCCCCTAAGTGCCACCTCTACAGAGAAAGGAATGGAAAATGCTTTCAGAAGGAAATATTCAAAGCATGGTTATCAGAGGTGACCTTGGCAGGCCTTTCAGAGGACGGGTAAACACAAAACAACAGAAGTGTAATTGTGATGGCTTGTGATACGGGGGCCACCAGACCCTCCTCCCTTAGATGCAGTCTCAGTGTCCGGTTTGGCCTCGCCCGTCCTGTGGCATCCTGGCCCAGAATAGTTAGAATCTGATGCTCCTGGGCTGTGAATTTTAAAGTTAAATTTGTATGGGGGTAAAGACAATCATGTCCTCAGTGGGCTGTGCTGCTCCCATGCTGCTCTGGGTCTGGAGAGCTGAGATCTGGCCCTGCTCCAGCCCTGCCCTGTCTTGGAGCTTTACGTACTAGGGAGCAGCTTGGATGGGGTGATATCTAAGGTCAGAAGTCCCTGCCCAATACTAAGAAGGCTGAAATCAGTTATAGACAGGCCTAAAGTGACAGCCTGTGTGGCAAATATTGCCACACAAAGCCTTCAATAAAATTCTCAAACAAAATATAAGATGCCCAGTTAAATTTGAATTTCAAATAAACAACAACACAATTTTTAGCATAAGTATATCCTGCATATTAGCATAAGTGTATCCCACATATTGCATGGCATATACTTATCCTAAATAATTATTTGTTGTTTATCTGACAATGAAATTTAGCTGTGCATCTCTTATTTGCTACATCTGACAACTCAATATGTGGCTAATCTAAAAAATAGCAGCAATTTCAGAATTTGTACAAGGGACCACGCCTTCAGTTTTGTCTCTTCAGAACACACCATCTGTGGCCCAGGCTCTCTGGGGGACCTAGCACATCAGAAAATTCCAGAGAAGCCTCCAATTAGTGTACAAACATTATAAAGATAATTTCTCTCATTGCTAAATTCTCGCAGGCTCTCTGTGGTCTAAACATAAAGCCTGGATAGATTTGAATCCCATCCATCCATCCTTTCGTCATTCATTCAACAAATACCGAAGGCCCACTGGCACCAGGAAGTGACAGACAGACATTAGGCACACCAAGGGTTACTCATGACCTCTGAAGGGCTCAACATTTTAAAAGAATATAGACTTAAACACACAGTCATAAAATAGTGTCGTGTGCACTTTCACAGAGAGAGGAAAAAGGCAATGGGATTTTGATGGGGTGAAGACATTTCGGCTAGAAAGAAGCAACACAGGCCGGGATTCTTTACAAGAGCTGCAGAATCAGGCATGAGACTGAGCTCCCGCGTGATTCCTTTTTAGCTGTATGATGAGGGCAAATGACTAACCATCCCATGCCTCAGCTTCCTTATCTGTAAAATGAAGATAAGAGCAGGAACCACCTCCTAAGGTGCTGTGGGGTGACAGAAACTCACAGCACCTGGCTGTGTGTGTTCCATGCTCGTGAGCTGTCATTGTAAGTTTCATCCTTGCCGTGTGGCCCCGTGATTTCCAAGGCAAAGAGCTGGACCTGCTGTCTCAGGCTCTCTCTAGAGTGGGGTCTCTTTTGATTTTCTCCATTTTCTACTTTTGGGTCTGGTTTACTTTATGTGGATTCCACTGGGAACGTAAGAAAAGAAATGAAAGGCGCATGGCGAGGTACACGCTGATCCCCTCATAATGTCCTCTGATGGGGAGGGCTGAAGCCCCACAGAGCAGAAGGGTCAGCAAAGGATGGAAAGGCGCCTGAGTTTTCATTGCCCACTCATGGGCTCTTACAAATCAGCAGGAACTGCTGGGAGGCTGGGCTCTGAATGGCACAGTGGCCTCCTGACCTGGGACGGGCAGGACCGCAGGACCGTGAACAGGCAGTCAGGTCCTCCTGAAGGAATGGGTGGTACCTGAAGGGGCCCCAAGGGAGATGTAAGATCCTGGTGCCAGCCCAGTCTGCCTGCTGGACTAGGCCACTTCTATTGCTGGATCTGTTCCCTGTCTCAACACGAGAACTCCTGCCTGGGACACATGGGGCCATTATGAAACTAGGAGAACATGATAAAATGCTTGCAGTGCCGGCGCAGATAGAGTAAGCCCACTGCAGATTACAACTAAGAACCTCAGGCAGGCTCCAACAAGCAACGGCGAGGCCCCTGACAAGAAGGCCGCAGCAGCTGGCTCGGGGAGGGAAAATAAACCTGGAGAAAGACAGGCGTCATGAGCTTACTGGGGTTTTTGCCTTTTTTATCTCCCAGGATTGAGCACAAAAGCTCTAGAAGAAACTCCCTCTCTCTAGACAGAAGACTGAGAAGCCAGGCTCCTGTGAGCTGGCAGTTTGAGGGGAATCCCTGATTTTTGCTTGTTTTCTCTTTTTTTATCTCCTGGCCCTGCCTCACAAGGCAGTGTCAGTTGCTGAGCTGTGTTGCCACGGTCGCGACGGCAGCAGTGACAGTGACCTAAACACAAGAGAAAACCTTCCCACTGGCCAGAGGAACCCGGGGAAGGGCCTCATGTTCTGAAGAGTGTGGGGGGCTCCCTTGATCTCTTCCATTTTCTCTCACTGCTTTGCCTGCAGGGTGTCCCAGCGGTGCAGACCCGTGCAGCAGCACAGGAGGATGCAGTGGGCAGAAACGCCGGCTTTGCAGCCAGAGGTTTAGACAGAAAGGCCCCTGGGAGCTAGACAGTGTCAGGGGAACCCAGAGGGAGGAAGCTGGAGAACGGAATGCCCTAAGTTTGTTGTGTGAACCTCTACGCATTTTGGGCTCACCCCAAACTGCATGCACAAAAGAGATTCAAAGGAGCACGGTAAAGGCTCTGATAACTACGGTGCAAACCCCTGCCATGTCGAGACTAACCCTTGAGGGGTGCACTTGCAAGACACACCCAAGCGACATGCAACCACTGCTTATAGAAGGTGACACAGAATTTTCAGACCAGACCCAACCTGCTAAAACAAAGCAATGCTCTAAAACTTTTAACAAGACATAGTATACTAGTTTGCTCTGGCTGCCATACAAAGTACTGCAGACTGGGTGGCTTAAACAACAGAGATTTACATCCTCACAGTCCTGGAGGTTGGATGTCCAAGATCGAGGCGTAGGTAGGGCTTGTTTATTCTGAGGCCTCTCTCCTTGGCTTGCAGGTGGCCGCCTTCTCCCTGTGTCTTCCCATGGTCTTCCCTCTGTGCATGTCTGTGTCCTAATTTCCCATTCTTATAAGGACTGCAATCATACTGAACTAGGGCATACCCTAGTGACCTCATTTTAACTTTTAAAGACCCTATCTCCAAATACACTCACATCTAAGGTATTGGGAGTTAGGGCTTCAGCATGGGAATTGTGGGGTTGGGGGAGGGGGCAACAACTCAGCCCATAGCCGCCAGCATCTCACAACATAATATTCAAAACACCCAGAATCCAATCCAAAATTATCACACCTCAGCACTTCTCTCTTGGTATAGGAAGAAATAGGAAATCAACAAGGACACAGAAGACCTGAATGCCACCATCAACCAACAGGATCTAACTGAAATGTATTGAACCTTCCACCTGACAACAGAATGCACATTCTTCTCATGGGCACGTGAAATAGTCACCAGGACAGATCATATCCTGGGTCACAAAGCAAACCTTCACAAGTTTAAAGGAATCAAAATCCTATGAAATATGTCCTCTGATCATAATGGAATTAAACTAGGAGTCAATAACAGAAAGATATTGGGGAAATCTCCCAAAACTTGGAAGCTAAACCACACACTTCTAAATAATCCATGGGTCAAGAGGGAAGTCTCAAGGGAAACTCGCAAATATTCTGAACTGAATAAAAGTGAAAATACAAGTTATCAGCAAGCATTGATGCAACTACAGCAGTGCTTAGAGAAAAAATTATAGTACTAATTGTTTATATGAGAAAAGAAGAAAGGTCTCAATTCAATAATCTAAACCAATCTTGTCCAACCCACAGCCTACGGGCTGCACGCAGCCTAGGACAGAATGTGGCCCAACAC